TTTTTTTTTTTTTTTTTTTCGAATGTTTCTAGGAGATTCATAGTGATAGTAGAAGACTAATTCAAGAAATTTTTTATTTAAAAAACTGAGTAACTCATGTTTCATAAACTCTTGAAGAAAGCAGAAACCCAAGAGTAGCATTAATGGAGGACGACAGAATATCCCAGCTGCCAATACCTATACTTCACAACATACTATGCTTCATCTCCCAGAAAGAAACTGTGAGAACTTGTCTACTCTCCAAAAGATGGCGCCACATAGGATTAACCCGCCCCAACCTCGAATTTTTCGAAGAATGGTTCGACGACAAAGAAGAAAAGTTTGTCCACGAAGGATCAACTCTCCCCAACCTCAACTCTTCTTCCGAAAATTTGTTCAACAGTACCCAAGAGAAGTTTGTCCCTGTCGTCGATCGAACTCTACAACGTTGCCGTGATCAAAAGCGCTCCATACTGCACCGCATTCTCTCTATCCTCCTCTGCAAAGGATCAACTCGCCACATCCTCGACTCTCCCGAAATATTGTTCAACACTACACAACAAAACTTCGTCTCCGTAGTCAACCGAACCCTACAAGGATACCTTGATCAGAACCTCTCCATACACAAACTCCATCTCGACTTATACAGCCTCGACTCACAACCGGTCATCTCCCTTCTTGACAAATGGATCCCGATAATATCCGCCCTCAACATAAAAGCGTTTGAACTCGAGTTTCTTTCACATACTCCAGCGTATTACCACCTGCCCTCGGCAGTGTTCTTAGCCGAGTCTCTCGAAGAACTACACCTGTGCAAATGCAGGCTGAGCCCGGTCGAGAGTGTGCGGTTTAAAAGTTTGCGCAAGCTCACCCTCGAACAGGTCCAAGTTGATGGCGGGACTTTCGACACGAAAATGTTGGGCTGCCCTTTGCTCAGGTGCCTGGTCCTTTATAGTTGTTGGGAGTTGAGAAACGTTAGGGTGAGCGAGGAGGCATCGCCTGGGCTCAAGCACTTTGTATTGTGGAATTTCATGGGGATCGAAGGGCGTAGCATCAAAATCGATGTCCCGAATATCGAGACGATCTCTATCCATGGCCAATGGATTTGGTGTCACTGCCAAAGCGCATTCTTGTTCTCTCGTCTCACGAGTTTGGATCTCGATAGTGTGATCCTTTCGAGCGAGTCGTTCGACCTGTTCTCGTTTGGCTGCCCAACTCTTGCGAACTTGACCCTAGATAATTGCTCCGGTTTCGAGGAATTCCATCTTGCAAGTGATTCGGTCAAGTGGTTGAGCATCAAGACACATAAAATACCGCTTAAAGGAGTTACGATTTGTGCCCCGAACATTATCAATTTTATGTTCAGTGGTCGTATTCCCCAGGTGCCGGACACATTCTCTTTCGCGACCCCTACTTCCAAGCATTGGTACTCAGGAGTATTCCTCTCATCGTGTGATCAGTATGATCCCAATTTCGATGCCAATTCGTGGTTCCTTGAGCTGAGACGATTGCTCAAGGCATTAAGTGGGTCTAAGATTTCTCTGAAGATGGACGGCGGCCCTCGGGACGTGCCTTGTAGTGCTGTTCTCGGTGACGAGCCGCCTGTGGTGGTGTGGAGCTTGAATTTTGATGCTTGTAAATGTCGCACGGTGTCTTGGTACTTGGAGTTTACGAATGGCTTGTTTCGTGTTTTTCGACCGAGCCACGTGTGGGGTGGTAAGCTCGTGAGCGAGTCGGACAGGAAGTACTACAGGTTTTCGGAGTTTCAGTTAAACATCTTGCTTGCTAACAAGAAGGTCGAGTTGGAGGGAATTCATGTCGATGGGCAGCTCGTGCAGTGGACAGACCTGTCGGAATTGCGAAACAGGATGTATGACAAGGAAATATGGCTTGAGTTGAAATGGAGAGGTGGGATATGAAAGTATTATGGCTTCTGTTGAAATGGAGATGAGGTCAGAGAAAATTAATCTAATCAGTGTAATAGCAGGCGGTTTAATCAAGTACACAATAAAAATAATAATGCCATTTGATTTTTCGTAAGGAAGAATGTTGAGCTTCTATAAGCTTTGAGTGCCTGTTTCCGTAAATTTTTAATACACACTATTTATCACAAGAGCCCTCATAAGGAGGATCATTATTCAAACATGATTCAACCAAGCATATAGTAGCATTTTTATATAATAATAATAATAATTAAAAAACCTTTGAAACATAAGGAATAAGTGTATTAGAAAATGAGGATAGACAAAACTTACTTAACTACTTCAATTTCAATTCAAACCCTGTGCAAAGAAACTCAGGAATAACTTCCATAATGGTCTAACCTGCGCAGAAACATGTGGCACTTCTAACTTTCTAAGTATTATAAGGTTTGAAAAGATATCATTGCTAGCCCAAGTTAACTGACTACTAAACACCACAAATCCTCGCGAAATGCTCCAAAATATGCTGAACGCAATCCAAATCGTACAGTCTCTTTCGAATACGAAAAACTTTTGGCATCAACAAATCCTCAAGACTTGCTTGGTCGAGCTGCAGCCCTACCATTTTCTCCAAGCTGGACACACAACCTCGGGTCCCTATGCTGATTCTGTCAAGAGCACACTCCCGCCTGGGCTCTGCATGAGCCCGTCGTGCTCCCTAACAGGCAAGCCAAACAGTTTTGGGCCCGGGATGTTGGAGAGGCTGACCACGTAGCCCTGCTCGGTTTCGGGGGCCTCAGTTATGAGTTTCTCCATGACCCCACTTCCCGACAGCAATATAGAAGTACATTTCACAAACTTCCGCAACCACATCGCTAGGTAGACCAGTCGTGCAAACCTATTTATATTTACAAGACATAACAGCAGGTCAATGAGTGGGATGTCATTTGCAAGCAGAGCTGAGGCAATATGTCAGCAGGCAGGACATACGACATCCTTCAATAACACGCAAGCCAAGCAAACCAGGCTTGTCATTGCATCAGATTTGGATTCCAACTTTACACAAGCCATCCCTTCAATAATACGCAAGCCAAGCAAAGAACAATCTTCCCTAGAAAAGTTCTTTCAAGAATTTTATCAAACATGACAAGTGCACATAAAAATCCACATCTCACTCTCTCACAAACTTCAAGAAAGAAAAACAAATGCAAAAGTCGGAAGTATAAACAACTCTGCTCATTGGAAACACAAAATCAAGTATTATTACATCCAATCAAATTCCTAATTATCACGAAATAAATTACCAATTGATCTTGTCGTGCCATCACGAGCCTATATCAAATACATCAGTTTTACAGAATATATTTATTACAACATTGGTTGCACCAATATTTTCACCGGCCACCATTGGCTGTGGAGAGATGGGCGGTGTTTGAAGTGCCGCCGTGATGCCGCCCGTCTCATCAACGCCAGGCGGCTTAGATTGCCTCATATTTATTACAACAGGGGTTGCACTTGCACCAATATTTTCACCGGCCACCTTGGCTGTGGAGAGATGGACGGCGTCAGAAGTGCGGCCGTGATTCCGCCAGTCTCATCAACGCCAGGCGGCTCAGATTGCCGTATATTTATTACAACAGGGGTTGCACTTGCAATATGTTAGACATAATATTTTTATCGACACAATAGTATAAACTATTAATCGAACAATTTGAGTGGTAAATTAGATGTGCACAAATATATTGTAGATGAATACTATTATTCTCATCTTTTGGTAGATTATAAAAGTTTTCTATGTTATACCAGCTTTCATTTTATTATCTAAACTGTATCAATTGTAACATGGTTATTGTTTCAGCAGTTGGTCTGTTGGTGTTATATTATTGTAATGTGGATTGCCATTTGCCTAAGATTTAATTATTAATATATTGTATTAATAATTAATAGACAAATAAACTTAATAAATAAGTTAATTATGTTGGGCTCAGATACGCAAATGCGGAAGATGTAAATTAAAAACACCGAAGTAAAATGGTGAACAATAAACCCAATCCTAGCAACTCAAGAATGACAAAAGAAAATATCTTGCAATAAAACAGGAATAATCATTTTCTGATGTAGAAGATCAGATTAAACTGCAACCACAGAGCATACTAAGAATATCCCAAATAAATAAAATATGCAAGAAATTAGACACCAAGATTTAACGTGGAAAAACCCTCCAAATAGAGGAAAAAACCACGGGGCAACCTCCGAACAATTCCACTATATTTTCAAGATAATTACAATATCTTTTCACACTCCCTTACACTAGAAATGTAAAATATAGTGACCCAGTGAGAACCCCACTCTCAAACAAAGAGTAATAGAGTTGATACCCAACCCGGTGTATTTTTCACACACTCACAGGATTTACTCAAACACTCTATTGTTATCTCACTGAAAAATAACACACACAGAAATATTTTTCTGCTCCCACTCTTATTCTCTCTTTTTCCTTCTTCCTTGGTGCATTTTGCTTCTGCTGAATACCCCCTATTTATAGGGAGGGAAATGCATGTGAACACCTGAAATTTTTCTGCGGCTTGTGAATTCTTTATAGCCACCCAATGTGAACTCTTTTATTTGTCTTTCAAAAATGATGGGCAGCACCAAAATCTTGTGGCTGGACCCCACAATTCTCCCCCTCCAGCCAGAGGGTAACATACTGCAACTCTTCACATGCATTCCATGCCGATCAACTCGACACAAACCTGAAGTTTTCCTCCTGTTACAACTTTCGTCATCATGTCAGCAGCGTTTTCGTCAGTGTGAATCTTTTCCAATTTGAATTGTTGTTCTTCCACTGCTTGACGTAGCCAATGATATTTGACATCAATGTGCTTCGTGCGAGAGTGGTACATCGCATTCTTACTCAAATCCAATGCGCTCTGACTATCGCAATGGATATCGTACCTTTCCTGCTTCATTCCCAATTGGTGAAGAAACCTCTTCAACCAAAGCATTTCTTTTCCTGCTTCTGTCATTGCAATATATTCTGCTTCAGTAGTCGACAAGGCAACAGATTTCTGCAATTTAGATTGCCAAGATACAGCTCCCCCTGCAAATGTAAACACAAGCCCTGAAGTAGATTTTCAACTATCCAGGTCACCTGCCATATCCGCATCTGTATAACCTTCAAGAACTGGGTTTCCTTTGCCGAAGCTCAAGGACTTATTTGCACTGCCTTTTAGGTACCTCAAGATCCACTTCACAATTTCCAGGATTGGAAAGATACCTGCTAACAATTCCTACCGCGTGAGCGATATCTGGTCTTGTACAGACCATGGCATACATCAAACTCCCGACTGCTGAGGAGTATGGAACACCCGCCATAGCTTCTTTTTCTTCTTGACTCGTAGGACAACTTTGTTTGCTAAGTTTGAAGTGATTGGCCAACGGTGTATTGACTGGTTTAGCCGATTTCATGTTGAATCTCTCCAGAATCCGATTCACATACCGTTCTTGCGATAACCATAACCTCTTGGATTTTCGGTTTCGCATGATCTGCATACCCAAAATTTGTTTCGCAGGGCCCAGATCCTTCATATCAAAGGACTTTGCTAATTCCTTCTTCAAGTCACCAATCAGCTTCATATCATGTTCCACTATCAACATATCATCTACATATAACAAAAGGATAATGATTTTATCACCTGGAAATTTCTTGACAAACACACAGTGATCTGCATCAGTCTTGGTATATCCATGGCTCGCCATAAACGAGTCAAATTTCTTGTACCATTGTCTTGGGGCTTGTTTCAGTCCATACAAGCTCTTCTTCAATCTGCAAACCATGTGCTCCTTTCCAGTCTTCTCAAATCCTTTTGGTTGCTCCATGTAGATTTCTTCATCTAGGTCTCCATGAAGAAATGCAGTCTTCACATCTAGTTGTTCAAGCTCCAGATCCAAGCTAGCCACCAATCCGAGTACTACTCGAATAGAGCTCATCTTTACAACCGGAGAGAATATCTCATCGAAATCTATTCCTCGCTTTTGTCCAAATCCTTTCACAACTAAGCGAGCCTTGTATTTCAACAGCTTGTCACCATCTTTCTTAAGCTTGAACACCCATTTATTCTTCAAGGCTTTCCTGCCTTCCGGAAGCTTCACAAGCTCATAAGTTTCATTTTTCACCAGTGAATCCATTTCTTCTTGCATAGCTTTCATCCACTGGGATTTATCCTTATGAGTCTGTACTTCTTCAAACCTTTCTGGCTCCCCTTCTTCAGTGATGGTAATATACGTGGAACTAGGGTATCTCGTAGACGGTTGGATCGCTCGATTTGATCTTCTGAGCTGAGGCCGAGCTTCGAGGTCTTCTTGCTCGACACCTTCACCATCACCATCTTCTGTTGCTGGCTCATCATCAACCCTGAGTTCTCCATCACACTCTCCCCCTGCTGTGGCATCTCCAGGAGGTTTGACAGGTGAAAGATCCACCTTAACACTTGATTCTGTAGTTTCTGGTGAAGCAGAATCAGACATAGTTTCTTGCTCATTAAACACTACATCTCTGCTTCTGATAACCTTTTTATTTTCTGGATCCCATAACTTGTAGCCAAATTCCTCATCTCCATAGCCCAGAAATATACAAGGAATGGCTCTATCATCAAGTTTTCGTCTCTGTTCCTTGCTTACGTGAGCAAAAGCTTTGCATCCAAACACCTTTAGATGTGAGTATTTAACATCATGTCCGGACCATACTCTCTCAGGGATATCAAAGCCCAAAGGAACAGATGGAGATCTGTTGATCAGGTAGCACGCCGTTAGAACAGCTTCACCCCAAAATGGCTTAGGTAGTTTAGCCATTCTTAACATACACCTCACTTTCTCCATAATGGTTCTATTGATTCTTTCAGCCACACCATTATGTTGTGGGGTTCCAGGTACAGTCTTCTCATGCCTGATTCCATGATCAGCACAATAATTCTTGAATTCATGGGAAGAGTACTCCCCTCCATTATCTGAGCGAAGACACTTCAAAGGTTTACCAGTCTGTCTCTCCACCATAGCATGAAACCTTTTGAAGTACTTGAAAACTTCGTCCTTTGTTCTCAAGAAATATACCCACAATTTTCGTGAAGCATCATCAATAAACGTCACGAAATATCTGCTACCACCGAGACTATCCACTTCCATGGGTCCACATACATCAGAGTACACCATCTCCAAAATATTCTCTTTCAGCTTTGAGGTTTTGCTGAAAGACACTCTATGATGCTTCCCAAAGAGACAATAATCACAAGGATTTAGTTTTGAATCTTTGGCAAATGGGATGAGGGACTTTCTTGCCAAAATTTGTAATCCTTTTTCACCAATATGGGCCAGTCTTTTGTGCCACAAATTTGGCGAAGCATCATCTTCGACTGCATTCAATCCACCCTTGATCAGCTTCACTTGAGTTCTGTACAGCGTCGATCTCACTGTGCCTCTAGCAGCTAATAATGATCCTTTGGTAAGCCTCCACGTGTCGCTACCAAAATTGTTAGTATAGCCTGCTAGATCCAATGCATGCACAGAGATCAGATTCAGACGTAAGTCAGGTACATGCCGCACATCCTTCAGTGTTATTGTGCACCCAATATCAGTTTGAATGCACACATCACCAACTCCCACAATATTTGCAATGCTGTTATTGCCCATCTTCACTCTACCAAAGTCTCCTTCTTTGTATAGAGAAAAGAATTCCTTGTGAGAGGTTGCATGGTATGATGCTGCTGAGTCAATGACCCATTCAACACATGAATCTGCAACATGACACTCTTCTTCTTCAACAGAGAGCAACACCACTTCCCCATTGATCACAGGGGTAGCGGTATTTTCATCGTTCTCTGATTTGTTCCTTCGATCTCTGTTCTTCCAGGCTTTGCAGTTTCTTTTGATATGCCCTTCTTCACCGCAGTGATAACACTTAAATTTTCTTCTGGGTTGAGACTGCGATTTATCTCTGGATTTGTTATTCCGGCCTCTGCTTTTGCTTCTCCCTCTGGTTTCTGTGACTAGGGCTTGGGAGCTGCTTGCCCCTGAGTCTTTTCTTCTTGTTTCTTCATTAAACATACTGTCTTTGACTTGGGTCAAAGTCAGTTTTCCTTCAGGGGCAGAATTGCTCAGCGAGACCACCAGAGTCTCCCAGCTATCCGGTAAAGAACTCAAAAGTAACAGCGCCTGCAATTCTTCATCAAGTTTCATCTCTATGGTAACAAGTTGGTTCACCATGTCTTGAAACTCATTCAAGTGTTCTGCAACTGGTCTTCCATCCCGATATTTTAGATTTACAAGCTTTCTAATGACGAAAGCTTTATTCTGTGCAGTCTTCCTCTGGTACATTTGTTCAATTTTGTTCCACAAAGTATGGGCTTTAGACTCTGTGGCAACATGGTGGAATATGCTGATATCCACCCACTGTCTGATTAAACTGACAGCCTTTCTGTGTAACTTTTTCCAATCGTCATCCTTCACATCATCTGGCTTGTTGTCTCCCTTTTCTACAGGATCGTACAGATCTTTGTAGAAAAGTATGTCCTCCATTTTTTGCTTCTAAATGGAGTAATTTGTTATTGTGAGCTTCACCATAGTACCCACGTTCTCCTCCATTAATTCACACTGGTTGATACAGAGCCCAAGTTGATCTCTGATACCACTTGTTGGGCTCAGATACGCAAATGCGGAAGGTGTAAATTAAAAACACCGAGGTAAAATGGTGAACAATAAACCCAATCCTAGCAACTCAAGAATGACAAAAGAAAATATCTTGCAATAAAACATGAATAATCATTTTCTGATGTGGAAGATCAGATTAAACTGCAACCACAGAGCATACTAAGAATATCCCAAATAAATAAAATATGCAAGAAATTAGACACCAAGATTTAACGTGGAAAAACCCTCCAAATAGAGGAAAAAACCACGGGGCAACCTCCGAACAATTCCACTATATTTTCAAGATAATTACAATATCTTTTCACACTCCCTTACACTAGAAATGTAAAATATAGTGACCCAGTGAGAACCCCACTCTCAAACAAAGAGTAATAGAGTTGATACCCAACCCGGTGTATTTTTCACACACTCACAGGATTTACTCAAACACTCTATTTTTATCTCACTGAAAAATAACACACACAGAAATATTTTTCTGCTCTCACTCTTATTCTCTCTTTTTCCTTCTTCCTTGGTGCATTTTGCTTCTGCTGAATACCCCCTATTTATAGGGAGGGAAATGCATGTGAACACCTGAAATTTTTCGCGGCTTGTGAATTCTTTATAGCCACCCAATGTGAACTCTTTTATTTGTCTTTCAAAAATGATGGGCAGCACCAAAATTTTGTGGCTGGACACCACAAATTATTCTTTTATTTTGATATAATATTTACATGCATGTTCTTAATTTCCTGGATAAGAAAACAAACCTGAATAAAATGTAACTCAGTCCTCACTTCCTCAGCAAATAATACATAAATAGAGATTGAGTAATGCTACATTGCCAACCTAGTATACAACTAGGTTGACAACACAAGTGAAAACATTCAAAAAAATAAAAATAAAAAAAATACACAAATAGATGTTTTCACTTGTGTTGTCACTTGTCAACCTAGTTGTACACTAGGTTGACAATGTATCCAATTTGAGATTAGTAGACAAAGTAGACAAATGTATCTCCCAGAAAGAAGATGTGAGAATTTGTCTACTCTCCAAAAAATGGCGCCACATAGAATTAACCCGCCCCAACCTCGAATTTTTCGAAGAATGGTTCGACGACACAGAAGAAAAGTTTGTATCCGAAGGATCAACTCTCCCCAACCTCAAACTCTCACTACAAAATAGTTGTTATATTCCAACAGAAAATCCTATCGTAACATATTCCAATGGAAATTCCAACGGATATTCCAACGGTATAGCTTCCGTTGGAATGGTTCCAACAGAAATTCCAACAGAAATATCCCGTTGGAATGTATTTTTCATTGTAATTTTAGATGGAATTTGATGATTCCAACAACTATATTTCCAACGAATTTTTACCGTATGAATTTTTGTTGGAATATGCAAATTCCGTTGAAATTTTGATTTCCACCTCCATTAGAAAATCCACCATTGGAATCGTCAAAATCCAACGGAAATTCCAACAGAAAACCCATTCCAACGGAATATTTTTGTTGGAATTTCCGAATTCATTGAAAAATTCCAACGAAAATAATAATATTGAAATATTCGTTGTAATTGCCATTGGAATAATTCTTTTGAAATATATTTCCGTTGAAATTTTATTATTTTCTTGTAGTGTCTTCTTCCGAACAATTGGTCAACGGTACACAAGAAAAGTTTGTCCCTGTCATTGACCGACCTCTACAGCGTTGCTGTGATCAGAAGCGCTCCATACTGCACTGCATTCTCTCTCTCCTCCTTTGCAAAGGATCAACTCGCCTCAACCTAGACTCTTCTGAAATTTGCTATTTCTAAGCATGCTCTCGTACGAAACCTCGTTAGGAAGCTTTTCGAGACTTGCACGTCGGGGTCGTTTTTGTCCTTCCAATGGTTTAAAAGGAGGTGCCAGATATGGCCATGGAGACCACCCGCGAAGAAGGCCAAAATTGTCCTTTTGCGCGGAGGGGTCCCGCCGAGTAGGCCTGTGATTTCGCCCGTCTTGAGGCTGATCTTGGGAAGCGTGACGTCTTTTAAAGGTTTGAAGCCTTCTGATGTGTTGACATTGCACAATACTCCATACAAGAATGGTGAGTATGAACTCAGTAAGGCCCCTACGCAAAGACAAA